AACCAATGCGTATAACTCCTTGTCATAAGTGGGATAATTCAACGTCGAACCTCCTAACTTTTTGCTGAAGTAAGCGACGGGCTTCTTATCCTGCATAAGAACTGCTCCAATACCTACACCAGAAGCATCGCATTCAATCTCAAAAGTCTTAGTAAAATCAGGAAGTACTAGTAAGGGCGAATTGATAAGCTTCTCTTTAAGGGCTGTAAAAGCTTGTTCTTGCGCCTCTCCCCACTTGAACCCACGTCTTTCTTTATCACTTCTGTTAAAGGCGCGGCTATGGTGCTGAAGTCTCGAACAAAACTCCTGTAGAACCCTGCTAAACCATGGAAGCTTCGGACTTCTCCAATATTCTTGGGGGTTGGCCACTCCTTGATAGCTTTTATCTTCTCTTCATCTACTTTAACTCCTCCTGCACTGACTACAAAGCCTAAGAAAACAATTTCGTTAGTGCAGAATGAACATTTAGATAAATTAGCAAAGAGAGATTGAGAGCGAAGAACATCAAGAACCGATCTGATGTGATCTAGATGTTCTTCCAAACCCTTACTGTAGATGAGGATATCGTCGAAATAAACCACTACGAACACGCCAATAAATGGTCTCAGGGCATGATTCATTAATCTCATGAAGGTGCTGGGCGCATTGGTGAGGCCAAACGGCATAACTAGCCACTCGTAGAGTCCTTGCTTTGTCTTGAATGCCGTCTTCCATTCGTCCCCTTCCTTCATTCTGATCTGATGATACCCACTCTTCAAATCTATCTTCAAGAAGATTGTCGATCCACAGAGCTCATCCAGCAAATCATCTAGTCTTGGATGTGTGATAGCTCGGCAGTCTACACACATCCTCCAGGAACCATCTTTCTTTGGTACTAACAGAACTGGAACCGCACATGGACTCAAGCTTTCTCGGATATGGCCTTTGCTCATCAGCTCCTCCACTTGCTTTTGCAGCTCCTTAGTCTCTACAGGATTGGTTCGGTATGCTGGCCTGTTAGGTAAGACTGATCCTGGTACCAAGTCAATCTGATGCTCTATCCCGCGAATTGGAGGTAGCCCTGGTGGAATTTCTACTGGAAAAACGTCCTTATATTCCTGCAAAATCTCAAACATAGCACTAGGAAGCTCCTGTGAAGGGTTAGTACTAACAAGGGATTCCTTGTACACAAACATAAAAGTAGTCATTTCAGGATCAAAGAGTTTAGAAAATTCACTGTGGTTTATGTAGAGGCTGTTGGCGACTTTCTCCTTCTCCTTGAGCTTCATTTGAATCTGATCTTGGTAAATCTCGGTAGGCGTGAGAGGTAGGAGGGTAATTTTACGACCTTTGAACTCGAATGAGTGCTTGTTGGTATAACCGTCGTGTATCACCCTACGATCTGATTGCCACGGCCTGCCTAGCAACACATGACTCGAACCCATGGGAATGACGTCACATAGAATCTCATCTTCATACTTCCCAATAGATAGAGAAACCATAACTTGCTGAGATACAGTCAAGGCTCCACTGTCATTCAACCACTGAAGCTTATACGGTCTTGGATGAGGAATAGTCTTGAGCTGGAGCTTCTTAACCATCTCTTCACTTGCAGCATTAGTACAACTTCCTCCATCTATGATCAGGCTACAAACTTTTTCCTTAATGAAGCATCTCGTATGAAACAGGTTCTCTCGCTGACAAGTCTCTTCAGGTTGACTCTGAACACTCAAAGTCCTTCTGGCAACCAGCATCTCGCCCACGGCAGCAGCTTCTTCCTCTTCCTCTATTTCATATTCGGCCTCTGAATCCTCTTGAGGAACTATCTCTCCTCCCTCTTGTAACAAGAAAACCTTCTTGTTTGGACAATCTCGAGAGTAATGTCCCATTCCTTGACATTTGAAACACCTCACATTGCTGATAGAAGTACCACTTCTAGGTTTGGAATCAGCTTTAGCTTCTTCTTTAACTCCAGTAGAGAGTGGTTTGATGTCTCTGGAGTAAGCTGGTTTGCTGATCTCCTTAGGCTTAGGCACACTAGGCGTGAACGTGGACTTGATGATTCGCCTCTTGACTTGAGATTCTACCAATTCAGCCTTATGCACCATCTCTTGTATGTCTGCAAAATCCTGAAGTTCCACCTTGTCTTGAATTTCTCGGTTAAGTCCTCCAAGAAATCTTGACATTACCATCTCTTCTCCTTCTCGTAAATCTGCACGAATGAGCAAAGTTTCCAATTCCTGATAATAATCTCGAACAGATTTCGTACCTTGGACGAGGCGCCTAAGCTTGTTGAGTATTTCGCGCTGATGATGGGCCGGAACGAACCGCTTCCTTATTTGTATAACAAGCTGATCCCAAGTAGTAATCGGAAGTTCCCTAAGGCGATTTCTGGTGACTCCCAACTGCTCCCACCATAGAAGCGCATACCCATGAAATTCTGAAACTGCAATTTTCACCTTGTTGAGCTCGTAGGTTCCTTGGACCAGAAAATTAGACTCCATCTTCCTTTCCCAATCTAGATAAGCTTCGGGATCATTGTTTCCATGGAAAAGAGGATACTGGATTTTGATATGACGCAGCTGCTGACGTAGATGATCATAATCTCGACCATGTCCTCGGCCTCGATCTCGTCTCACAGTTTCTCTGCTATGATCAGAAGCTTCGTCCTCCTCATAGTATTCTGGATCTGATTCCAGGGTAACTCGATGCCCAGCAATATATTCCTCTCGGCGGTGCTGACGATCTACCCTTGGGCCATCTCGTTCTGCACCAGTAGGATTCCTCCTCGGATTAAACGTAGTCTCTCTGCCCCCAATCTGGCTTCGACTGGACTTAGCTTTAGTCCTGGCTTCGGAAGCTGTTGGGTGGCGTGGAAGTTTCCGGGAAGATCCTATGTGCCCTTTACCCTTTGCTAAGCGCATTGCTTCCGAAGGAGTTGGAGTTTGAGACGACTCTTCTCCACTTGCACTGAGGTCTTTGAGCAGATCATTCATCTTTGTCTCGAACTTGTGATTGAGTTGTTCGATTTGTTGTGTGAGCTGAGTTGCTATGGCTTGATTCGCTTCTTTAATTTGTTGAGACATTGCTCGGTTCAGAGCTTCCATCGCCTCAGCCGAAAGCTCCATGGTACCTAAAAAAATTAAAAAAAAAACTCGCAGTAACTTGTTCTAGAAGGAATCACAAAAACAGCAAAACTAAACTCATCATAAAAAAAAATTAAACGATCCCCACGAAATCTAAAAACAAACTTAACGAAACTAATGAAATTTAACGAAATTTTTTTTTTTTTAATCAACCCTAAAAAAAAACAAAAATACGAAGTCTCTTATCAAATCTAAACGAGAACGACGAAACAGCCGAAAAAAAAGACTCTTAACAACCTAATCGAACACGAGAACAATGGATAAACAGACTTGAATTCAGACTCGCGATCTATCAAACCTAACGAATACGATGAACACGAAATATCAAACCTAACTAAATCGCAAATTAACGAACCCTAACACGATCTCGCAAACTCGATCTAACAGCAAACGACGATACGAAACTTGGGAAACAGATCGATGCACAGAACTCGCTAAACCCTATTGACACAGATACGAAAATTTAAAGCACAGAGATTAGGGTTAGAGTTTCGCTCAGCCTTTGGTTCAGAGTTGGCTCTGATACCACGTGATACGATCCTAGGTGATCAACTCTGAAGCAAGGGCAATAGATGTGGCGATATGATGGGTGGAATGCAGCGATGATGCGATGGGGTGGCGATGGTGGCTGGTGGATCGGATCGATGGTTTGAGATGGTGGTGTGATGCGGCGGATCGAGTGAGATGAGAAGGTGGACGTTGTGTGATGATCGATTAGGTGATGATGGAGAGATAGAAGAATCTCTTGTAAACAGATTAGTTTTTAAGAGATTCGAATTTCAGAGTTTTTAGTTCTCAGAAATCAAGGAGAGAAGAACACGTTAAAAGTTTGATCAAAATTCTTCACTGAATAACACTTAGGAGATTTTCTCTCTTAAATAGACTTAGAGAGAAATTGCAGCCCTAAGAAACAAACTACATGAAGTTTGAAATAAAAACAACAAGAAGTTTGATTTAAAAATAAAACAGCGAGGCGTCCCTAAATTCCTAAGTGGTGAACCAAAATACTAAGTGCACAAGTCATTGTGACTTTGCACATTATTACCCATTAGTAACAACTTCTAAGTAACTCGACGTAGCAATGATTTCTGCCTCGTTAAAAACCTTGGAGAAGAACCTCCTTGCCTTCCAAAATCTTCACCAAGGAAAAGAGTACAGAATCATCACCTAAGTTACCTAGTCATTGTTACTGGGTTCTTCATTCTTCAAGATAGAGATGTTGAAGATGTGAGCTCCAGCCTCCTGGTGATCGCTGTCCTCTATGGCAATGAGTGCGTGAGCCTCCTTAGCCATCTCTCTAGCTCTGGAACGAGTGATCCTGCCAGCTACCTCTGGTTCCTCTTCCTCTGAGCTGGTCACGATCATATCAGTTACTGTGTAGACCTTTCCTTTCACCTGAAACTGTATAATTCCAAGACCTCTTCCTTGAATCACTCTTGGATCCCTTGGCATGTACATATCAACATCAAAAGAAGCTGAGAACTCTTGAGACTCCTTTTCATAGGCTATTTCTCTCAGTTCCAAGAGTGATTCAATCCCCATGTTCCCAAACAAAGTCTTGACATCCTCATAGATGCCAATCTTCTTCAAAAATTCCACATCAGGGAACTGCCCTTGCTGGATCCCCATCTGTTGAAACTTGGCCAAGTAGTCAGCAGTCTCTGGTTATCTTTTCTTAGCCCTCTTATTTACCTCTTGAATGGTGCGTTGAGAATGCCCCAGATGAGCTGCTTGAACCACTCTCGGTCTGTTCATCATCAGAGACCACAGCCAATTGTTTTCCTTTCTTCTTGGGGCTAGAAGCAACCACCAAAGCTTTCTCCTCATTCCTTGTTCTTTTGGCACTTGTTCACCCTTTCCTTGCTTTGTACCCTTTTAGGTGCCTTTTCCATTTCCTTTTGGCCTTGAGGACTCTGAGACCAAGCTCTTGTCTTTTGATGCAAGACTCTTCTTCATGCGAGCAATGGCCTTGGTTCTATCAGTCATCTGCAAACAATTTTCTCAAAAACCAGTGAGCACAAGAACAAGTTCCACAAAAGTTCTCAAAAACTTTGAAGAATTGTTGGAAAAACCGATTTCTAAAGAACATGAACAAGTTTCTCAAGCCAAGCATCAGTCCAATAAATTCACAGCAATGGAAAAACAAGAATGCAAGGCAAGGATTAAGCAAGAAACAAGTTCATCTCTTTTTTAAAAAAATCGGTTTTCAAATGAATTATCTTGCAACAATTTTCAAAACTCAAGAACAATGAATCACCAAGAAAAATCTCGGTTTCCCATGATAATCTAGCACCATAGCATTTATGAAAATAATCATAAGGTCTCTAACAACCTATTAAAATGGATTCCACACATTGAAGCTCAAAAATCACCATTTAAGAACATGGAAAAAGATGAGTTTTAACAGAGTGGATACCTTGGGATTATGATGCAATGAGTTCGAAATGCTAACAGGATGAGATTACCAACTCAAAAACGAGCTCAGAGCACTTTGAATCAGAGAATTTTGTGAAGTAATGAGAGAGTTATGAAGGAAACAATGGAGAAGATGGGTTTAAGAAAGCAAACTCGTTTTCTCTTGAAGAATAGAGAGTGTGGGACTACGTGCATGCTTTTGTCCTTTGGTCAATAGATCCACTTTGACCAGTCAAGGTTTGACTTCCTCTTTTTTGTTGACCAGGCTCCTTTTTGACCACTTGTGCGACCTAGACGCGGCTCGGCCATCTCACAGACTTAACTCGGTCCGTTCAATAAGTTTATGTGCAACTTGGGACCTTCTCCTTCCTGTCTTGCACACCCAAGTGTCACATAGAATTCTTTTGTAAGCTTTGGCCTTCTCTTTTGTTGTGCGACCTGGGCTGATCTCAAAACGACCCGCAGGCCCAAGTCGGTGTAAACCGCGAGTTTCTGTGCGACTTGGGCTCTTCTCTTGACTGTATCGCACACTCAAGTCGCACGGCTCAACTCTTGCTCGATATGGCGTCCTCCTTTGGTGTGCGGCCTGGGATCCTTCTGGTCTGTCTTGCAGGACTAAGTCGCACTTTTTCATCTTTCGACGACCTGGCACCTTTTTTTTTTAACCTGCGACCTGGCTCTTTGTTGAACTGATCCGCAAGGCCATCTCAGTGTAAACCGCGAATGTTTGTGCGGCCTGGGCAGATTCTGAACCATCTCGCACGACTAAGCCACACAAATCAACACCTGAACATCCTGGCTGCTTTTCCTGTTGTGCGACTTAGGCTGCTCTTAAACCATCTCGCATGCCCAAGCAGGTCTAAACAGCCAGCATCTATGCGACTTGGAATCTTCATGATCTATCTCGCAAGACTAAGCCGCACAGATCATTCCTTTAAGAGCCTTGTCTCATGCCTGGTGTGTGGTATGGTCTTCTGTTGGAACTGTGTGGCATGCCCAAGGTGGTCCGTTCAGCGAGTGTTTGTGCGGCCTGGTTTTCACTTTGTCTAACTCGCAGGCCTTACCCGCACTTTTCCTCCCTTGAATGCCTTGGACTCTTCCTTTTGTGTCCGGCCTGGTCTCTCCTGAATCAACTCGCAAGACCAAGCAGGTCTCTTTTGCGCGTATTCGTGCGACTCGGTCTCTCCTCGGTTCAAGCCGCGTGCCCTAGTCGCACATATCACCACTTGGACGTCTCAGCTCTTTTACTCGGTGTGCGACTTAGTTTGCTCCTTGACCGTCTCACATGTCCAAGCCGGTTCATTCAGCGAATACTTGTGCGGCCTGGTCTTCTCTTGTTCCAACTCTCAGGCCTGAGTCGCAAAGAATACGAATTGAACGCTTTCTTGGTGTGCGGCTTGGGATGATATTGAGCTAACTTGCAGAACCAGGTAGGTCCATTCAGCGAGTATATGTGCGGCTTGGTCTAACATTGATCCATCTCGCAGACCCGACTCGCACCTCAGCAACACTTAGCATTTTTCTTGCTCAAATCCTTTGCTGCTAGATGACTAACCCGCAGACCCAAGTAGGTCTTTTCTGCGAGTTCATGTGCGACTTGGTTTGCAGCTTGATCGAGTCGCAAACCCAAGTAGCACACCAGGCTTCCCTCTAGTTTTCATGCCTTAAGCCCTTTCTCAGCTTTCTCACAAGCTCCATTCCACTTTGTTTTTGAGCCATAGCCCCCAAAAGTTACCTGGGACCTGAGAACACTTCACAAAACCCATCAAAATATCCTAAAACATAAAAAAAAAAGGAAAAGAAAAGTTTAAAAAGAACTATGTACAAGGATAAATGGGGTGTCTCCCAAGAGCATTTTGTCTAATGTCACTAAGTTTGACATTGAAAACCTGTTTAACAGGTTGGTGGATCATAAAGAGGAACTGTAGAAGCTTCCTCTCTCTTCTCTGAAATCAGGTAATGCTTGACTCTTTGTCCATTCACAACAAAACCCTTTTCATCCTTTCCCTCGAAGACCAATGCTCCATACCTTCTAACCTCTAAAACCCTGAATGATCCTGACCATCTTGACCTTAACTTATCAGGAAAGAGCTTGAGCTTTGAGGTAAACAAGAGAAAAAGGTCTCCTTCCTTGAATTCCCTCTTAAGAATCTTCTGATCATGCAAGATCTTGGTCTTTTCTTTGTAAATCCTTGCACTCCCAAAAGCATTGAGTCTTATCTCTTCTAGCTCATGTAACTGAAGAATCCTCTTCTCTTGGGCTGTCTTAATGTCAAAATTCAACATTTTAACAACACAGAGAGCCTTGTACTCAAGCTCTACTGGTGAGTGGCAGCTCTTTCCATAGAGAAGGTTGAAGGGAGATGTGCCAATATGTGTCTTGAAAGTCCTATACGCCCAAAGAACATCATCTAACTTCTTGCTCCAATCCTTCCTTGAGTTGCTCACTGTTCTCTCCAAAATGGCCTTGATCTGCCTATTAGAAACCTCCACTTGACAACTAGTCTGAGGGTGATATGGACTTGATATCTTGTGTTTGACACCAGGCTTCCTTAACAACCCCTCTAGAGTCTTGTTCACAAAATGTGTGCCACCATCACTTATCACTCTATGAACCCAAAACCTTGGGAAGATGATACTCTTGAAGAGCTTGCATAACACCTTAGAGTCATTGGTTGGGGAGGCAATGGCCTCAACCCACTTTGAGACATAATCAACTGCTACAAGGATGTACTGGTTCCCATATGAGCTCACAAAAGGACCCATGAAGTAAATACCCTAACAGTCAAAGAGTTCCACTTCCAAGATGGGATTTTGGGGCATTTCACTTCTCTTGGAGATGTTGCCCTGTCTTTGGCATTGATCACAGCTTGACACAACACCATGAGCATCTCTAAACATTGTAGGCCACCAAAAACCGCATTGTAGCACCTTGGCCATTGTCTTGAAAGCTCCCAAGTGACCTCCATAAGCAGAACCGTGACACTCCTGCAACACAGGTTGAACCTCTTCTTCAGCCAAGCACCTTCTATAAAGATGATCCTTGTTGAGCACATAAAGGTATGGCTCATCCCAATGGTATATCCTCACATTTTTAAAGAACTTTTTCCTTTGATAAGAATCCATTTCAGGTGGCTCTAAACCGCATGAGAGGTAATTAACAAGATCAGAAAACCATGGAAGACTCCTCTCTCTGATTGTCTTAGCTTGTTCAACCTCCAAGTAGGACATGATCACCATTAGATTCTCCTCAGGTAAAGAATCATCTAGGGGCACATCTGAGTCCACCTTTTGTTAGAATATTTAGAGACTAAGCGGAATAAAGAGATTTGAGAGAGTGTGCAAAAGAGATGAGAGAAAGAGTTCCCAAAGTAGTGTGTTTATTCATTCTCGTCTTTGATACATATATAGAGGAGACAGAATAGAAACTAGGTTTAGCTAAGCTACAATACAAAAGAAAGTGGTTAGAGACATAAGGAAACATGTGAGTCTTGAGCATGGATCCCGAGAGATAGTGACAGCTCCAACGGTCACAAGACCAAGTGTAAACGACGCGCCAAGGGGGGACCATTGTACGGACACCAACTCTCTTCTTCCTTAAACATCACACGTGATCCCTTGAGCCTTCTCTCCTTATTAAAGGCTAACACCGATTCAAGCCCTAAAGCATAGAACCTTTCTTGACCAATACTCCCCCTCAAGCTTAGCCATCGAAGTTGTTTAGATTGCTAAGCTTGAAGACCCATGAGCATCACCTCATTAAAAACCTTAACAAGGAAAACCTCATGGGACAAAACCTTGTTAAGGGGAAAAGAGTGTGATGTCCATGGATCAAGGACTATGATCAAGGGCGACTAAGGTCCACAAGTCCTAGCTTGCTAAAGAGATTGTTGCAAACTTTAAGACTTGCGGCCTTAGTGAAAATATCAGCCAACTGGTCTTCACTTCTTGTGTAGCACGGTAACACCACACCTTCCTCAATCTTCTCACGGACCTTGTGGCAATCTATTTCAATAGACTTTGTTCTCTCATGAAACACCGAGTTTGTTGCAATGTGTATAGCAGCTTGGTTATCACAATGCATTGTAATCGGACCTTCTTGCTCAATGCCAAGGTCTTTAAGGAGCGCCTTAAGCCAGGTTAATTCACTTGTAAGCTTCCTCATTGCCCTATATTCAGCTTCTGCGGTTGAGCATGAGACCACCTTTTGCTTCTTAGTCTTCCAGGTTACAAGATTTCCACCAATGAAAGTACAATACCCACTTGTTGACTTTCTATCAACACGATCACCAGCCCAATCTGAGTCACAATATCCCACAATCTCTGTATTATTGTTCTTTCCCATCCAAATGCCTTGTCCTGGACTCCCTTTGAGGTATCTGAGAATTCTTTCCACCATACCCCAATGATACACTGTCGGAGCTTGCATATGTTGGCTTACTTGATTCACGGCAAAGCAGAGATCTGGCCTTGTGAGAGTGAGATAGATCAATTTGCCAACAAGTCGTCGATACCTAAATACATCCTTGAAGGCTTCATCTGATTTCTCCCCCTTTCGATTGACTTTGTAGCCCTCTTCAAGCGGCGTTTTGGCTGGTTTAGCTCCAAGTTTTCCTGTCTCTTTGAGAAGATCAACTGTGTATTTCCTCTGAGACAGAAAGAGACCCTCAGGAGACCTACACACCTCAATGCCAAGGAAATACTTGAGCTCGCCGAGGTCTTTAATGTCGAATACCGAGTTAAGAAAGGCTTTTGTAGACTGAATTCCCTCCTTGTCATCTCCAGAAATGATAAGATCGTCTACATAAACAAGAACAACCACCAGACCTTGAGAACTTTGGAGGGTAAACAAAGTATGATCCGAGTGAGACTTCTTGAACCCCTTTTCCATCAGAGTGGTACTAAGCTTGTTATACCAGGCTCTTGGAGATTGTTTCAATCCATATATAGCTTTCCTCAATCTCAAAACGTTACCGGGTGCAACAATATCCTCTAAGCCTGGAGGAGGGGTCATATACACTTCTTCCTGAAGTTCCCCTTGAAGGAATGCATTTTTCACATCCATTTGCCACAGATCCCACGAGTGATTAGTAGCGAGTGAGAGGACTACTCTTACAGTATGGAGCTTGGCAACCGGAGCAAACGTGTCTGTATAATCTTCTCCAAAGGTCTGAGTGAACCCTCTTGCAACCAACCGAGCCTTGTATCTCTCAATTTCACCGTTACTCTTATACTTGATAGTGAAAACCCACTTTGAGCTCACAGCTCGCTTCCCTGGTGGTAACTCGGCTTCATCCCAAGTATGGTTGCGCTCCATAGCTCCTCTCTCGTCACCTATAGCTTCAATCCACTCCTTCTTGTCTTTAGCTTCTTCATAGATTTGAGGAATTTCGTGTTCCTCAATTTTTCCCATGAACGCTTGATGATCAGAGGGCAACAAGGCAAGAGAACAAACAGCCTGAATTGGATGAGCTACAGCTTGACTATTGTAGTAGACTCTGGTGTTCTTGCTGAGCCTAGTACTTCTTCTTAATGGCTGAACAGGTTCCTCTACAATACAATTAGATGGATCCTTGATGAGCCTAGTACTTCTTCTTAATGGCTGAACAGGTTCCTCTACAACCGCCTCTCCTTGTTCTTGTGGGACTGATTCCTCTGCCTCCACTTCTAAGTCATCTGGAGTTGGCTCTTGACTCTGCTCCTCTTCTTGATTTACTTCTGTACTCAATGGTACCGGCTCAGCTTCTTCTTGAGTACTTGTAGGAACCAGCTTATGCACTTGCTTGGGCAGGACTGGGTTCCCAAGGTGATCCAGCAAGAACCGCAGACTGGTAGCGAGATCTGATTGGGAGCTTGACAGGTCTTTGAGACTCTCCCAATTCTTCTTGTCATAGTATCCCTGGTTCTCAAGAAATTTGACCTCCCTGGACACATAAGTGCGGCTATTAACAGGATCATAGCACTTGTACCCCTTCTGAGTTGTTGAATACCCAAGGAATATACACTTTATGCTTTTGGCCTCAAGTTTGTTTCTCTGTTCACCTGGAACAAACACAAAACAAACACACCCAAAAACACGTAAGTGATCTAATGAGGGTTTAGTTTTGTTAAGTACCTCAAATGGTGATGAGTCTTGTAAGACTTTTGTTGGGGTCCGGTTAATGAGATAGCATGCGGCTAAGACAGCATCTCCCCAAAAACGTTTAGGCACATTTGTATGGAACATCATCGACCTGGCCACCTCCATTAAATGTCTATTCTTCCTCTCAGCAACTCCATTTTGTTGTGGAGTGTAAGGGCAACTGGTTTGGTGTAAGATGCCATGCTTTGCTAGATGTTCTTTGAATCTTTGACTTGTATACTCACCGCCATTATCTGATCTAAGAATCTTAATCTTGGCATTAAAATGATTAGTCACATAATTTTGAAAGTTTGTGAATGCTTCAAATACACGATCTTTAGAGGGAAGTAAAGTTATCCAGGTATATTTTGATTTTTCATCAATGAAGGTCACAAAGTATTTATTACTATCCCTAGACATGCAAGGTGAAGTCCACACATCAGAATGAACCAAGTCAAAGCAATGTTCATAAATAGTAGATAATTTAGGGAAAATAACTCGACAATGTTTACCAAGAATACAAGATTCACAACTTGTGTGATCAAAAGCAACATCAGGTAACATTAATTCAAGAGCACGCGAGTGAGGGTGACCTAATCTAGCATGCCAAATAGAGTTCAAACTTGCAGAAAAACATGAATTAAAAGAGAAAGCATTTGAGTCGCTTGGTGAAGAATCCTCGAGAACATATAGATCATCTTTGGTTCCCCCTTTTCCAAGTACCTTCCCATTCTTAATATCCTGAAAGTGAACATCATTAGGACCAAATATCGCATAAAAGTCTAAGTCCTTGGTAGCTCTACTAACCGATAATAAGTTAGAAGTGAACTTAGGCACAAACAATGCTTTACTATCTTTATCAAATAACTTTAGGTTACCAGTTACTTCTATGGGAATTCCATCACCATTAGCTATCACAACATTTCCTAAAGCCGGTTTTATGTTGTTTAACAGTTCAGGGTTACTAATCATATGATGAGATGCACCTGAATCTACAACTAAAGCGGTTTTAGGTTTATTAGAGAAGAAGGTGATACCAGACTGTTTTGCGGCTAAGGCTTTGATAAGAGCCTCAAGGTCGGTCTTTCTCACAAACTCAGTCGAGACATTCATGGCACCATCTCCACCTTGTGTCAATGCACCGGCTCCTTCTTGAGCAAAGCTAGCTCTTGCATCCTTGAACTTGCTCGGCTTCAGGTGGGGATGAAGAATCCAACATTTATCTTTGATGTGGCCCTTCTTCTTGCAATGGTCACAGATCCATGGCTTCCTGTCATCGGGTTTAAAGACACCTTTGTTGGACGAGATGAGCTCTTGCTTCTTGAAGAGACCAATAGAACCTTGCTCCTTTTGGATCCTTGCAGAAACGTCTTCAAGGCTTGGGAGCTTATCCTCTCTCAAAATGTGCTTGATGAGGTCGTTGAAGATGGGGTTTAGCGTGAGAAGAAGTCCAAAGACTTTGTCTTGCTCTCGCCTTTCATTGAGAACTTTAGGATCCAAAGTGCTCGGCCTCAGCATCTCTAGCTCAGCCCACAAAGATCTGAACTTCCCAAAGTGAGCTTTGAACTCCATGTCTTCCTGGCTCAGGTCATTAATCGCCTTCTTGACTTCAAAGACTCTGCTCAGGTTTGTATCATTACCGAAC